AAGTGATATATTGAAATAAAGTGATAAAGTGAAATAATAGCACTCTCACATACTCACATTTGTCTTTCTGTCTTTATAACACAGGCCCAACTTCCACACTTTCATCAAGAAGCTCTTCAAGTTCAGGTGACTCAACACTAAGAAGAGGTAATTTGTAGTTTTGAATGTATTCATCAGAGTTTATACAGAGTTGTATAAAAACATATCTCTTCATGAGGACTTTTTCATGTTTATTCAGCAGGCTCATCCCAGGGAGTGCTAGTCTTCCTGACCCTGGACAAATCCCCCATTGTTGGGGAGCCTGTCAGCTTCAGCGTGAAAATCATGAACAAGCAGAATGTAGCCAAGATGTTGAAGATTCACCTCAATGCCCAGGCAAAAGAATACAACCACAGCCCCTCGGACACCTTCTGGGAAAACCACGGTGTCTTACAACTTGCACCTATGGAAGGTACATTTACTTTTCTCATCTACAACTAAAATATTCACCTTTGAAGGACTGTTGTTGTTTTCAGAACTTAATCTATTTGGATTTATTTATTTAACACAACCTAATTTCTGTGTCACTTCCTCTATCCAGTCAAGGTAGTGAGGCAGAAGATCCCCCTAGCACAGTATGAAGACGTGGTGGGGGATAACCTGATCAACCTTGCAGTTGTTGTGGAGGATACTGCCAGTCTGGAGAGAGTCCTGAGCTCAGAGGAGTTCAACATCACCAGCCCACAGCTCATCATACAGGTACTTTACAAAAATTCTCAATATTTCCTCCTTAAAGTTTCTCACATACAGACTTATTGCATCCATCAACTTAAACTTCTTTAAACAAATTAATTAATTAAACTTTATGTCTTTGAGCACAAATTCCAATGCTTTGATACCAAGTACAGGTTGCTACGCAATGTTATAAGAAAGTATTTAAAGGGCATTCAGGATTTTCATATCTGATCTGATGATGCACCAACCGTGAAAAAACTGCATCGGTGGTTTTGAAAATTTCTATAATATTTCTCCTTTTTGAATAAAAATGTAATCATCATCACAAGTATGAGTTGCAGACAGCAGATGTTATGTCATATTTATTAGCTTAAAGTTATATAATGGAGAACTTGAGGAAATGTTCTGGGTTTACTAATGTGTTTGTTCTTCAGGTTGCAGATGAAAAGTCCATCAAGCAACACAGCGAACAGACTGCTCTAGTGACCTTCATCAACCCATATTCTCACCGAGTCAGTGGAGTACTGACTGTAGCTGGGGCTGGGCTGCTCCAAGGCAAAGTTCAGTTCAGGTAAGAATGATTATTTTGTCTCATGGGCAATAATTAGTAGACACCACAGGGACTTTAGAACGCCATAAATGCCTGCTAATGACAGGAATTCTAAAATAGAGGAGTGTCACTGTGCAGTGCAGAAAGGAACACTGTCTATCTTGAGGGAATGTTGACTTGTCGCTGTGGTATGTTTGCATTGTTTTATGCATGTATATGTTCATGGCTGCATAGCAGGATAATCACTGAATGTTTGCTTAGAGGCGTGATGCAAAGTGACAGGACGTTTATTGTAGTCAGCCACTCTAAGTTACTGGAATAAATTTCTACATTTTGCAAACATTTTTTTAAAATAAGCTTTCTACATTTTCCTGCAGGATGCCCCCACTGCCTCCAGGAGGAAGAGTGGATCAGCCAATCCCGTTCATGCCCAACATGGTGGGAGAAAAGATGCTGCAAGCCAGCCTGTGGCTCACAAATATGAATGTCACCATCAGAGGCTTTAAGATGGTCTCTGTCAACAGTGTTTAGCACCTGCAGCCATGTTTCCTATGCTGTAAATGAAGAATGTAAATATTATTTATTTAGCTATTTATTGTTTTTATTTATGTGTATATGTGCCATAAAAATTAACATTGATACCCAAAGATATATATATTTTAATTTATTGTTGTACTTTTACCTTTATTTGAGAAATAAAATCATAAAATGTTCAATTCTGTCTCATTTCTTCTAAAAGCCACACAGTGTATGAGTCTATCAGTGTCTTTATGTTACTACTTTTCTTGGCCTGAAGATGGTGATCTTTCCCCATAAAGAAAGAAAAGTCCTTCGCGTGATTTTGTCCATGGAAAACTTTAAAATTCCTTTTTTAGGTTTATGTCATGTAGATTGATTAGAATGCATCTATAGATTGAGCAACAGTGCAAAATGAGATGAAACTGAACTCACCTTTGCCCTCAGTGTAATTAATTTATCTTTATTCATCTACTTCAACTGTCTGTCACAACAAGTTGGCAACAAAGCATTATATACAGATCATTGCTAAGCTGACAGGCAGTGTAATCGGCACATGCACAATCATACCAGTCCAACTATATTACAAACAGGTTATTAGGAACTTAATGACAGTAAAGAAAACAATATACAACCCATAATTAAAGGTAAAGATTCATTCAAGCACCAGCCTATAATACAGCATCTTCAAGCCAACTCATCAAAACATTTTGAGCAGATTTTTGGTCTTTAACTGTGATTATTGTTTTATGCAGAGCTCCCAAACTATTACCGTACTGTATTGTAAAACTGAACCAGTAAATAGCTCAGACTGTAAAGCTGAAATGCAGACTATTTAATAGCCCCTACCTTTAAGAGAATGGTATTTAACATTTATTACTAAAAATCACAATATCAGAATTCTTGCTTCTAATTTTGTCTTTACAACATTAATGGCCAGGAAAAAAACGTGTTAAGTCTCAAAAGAAATATAAAGACACAGCAGAAAAAGTCATCAACAATCTGAACTTTACTCACTGTGATCGCTAAACAGGATGTAAATATCCTGAAAACGGAACAATTTATAAACTCAAGATGAATTAAAAAAAAAAAAAAAAAAAAAAGTAAGTTTGTTGTTTTATATGATTAATATTATCGGTATTAACCATAATTCCCTGGAGTTAGCTATGAGGCTTTGGTCCCTTATTTCACTTTGGCCTTTTATTTTGTTTCCAGCCCTTTTTTTTTTCATATTTATGTATCACAGACACTGCAGCCTTGCTTCAGAATCCCCACAAAATCCATTGGCTTGGGTATAAAATTGTCTGTGAGAGTGCTCGCTCAATATAGCAGTACTGACTTTTAATCAGTCTCTAGGGAAATCTTCACCTGCAAGGTGCACTCAGAAGCTCCAGAGTTTCTCATAACACAAGCATAAGAGCAGAATGTGATGGATGGCGCCCTCTAGAGGTAGTCCAGCTCCAGTGCGTGGCTCAAAGCCTCGAGATCAGCCCTACAGGACACTCTCCAGAATGGCATGTTCTTCTGATAAAACAAAAATAATGTCATATCAAACGCGTGAATAGAGTATAACATTGAAACTTAAGATAGTATCTTTTCAGAAGTTTTCAGTGTTTCTGCAGAAGAAGAGTATATGTGAAGTATTGTCCCATTTGGAGGGGTGCTATAGTACACAGATACATCTGGATAACATTATAGAAAAGCATTAGAAAAAAAATCTAGGAAAATCTCAAAACAGCAATTTCATGAAAAAACAAACCCATACCACAGAAGCTGCAGAAATCAAGCATAGTGTAAGGTTAACTGATTTGCTGTGGCCCATTTTTCAGCCATTAAAGTAATAAAAAAAACAGACAGTTTTACCTTCTTGGCTACAGTCTCCTCTTCAGCTCCATCTCCTATCACCACATAGACTGCTCTCCGACCAAACCTCTGAGAGACACGCTCAAAACAACTTTCTTTGCCTTTGAAAAGGAGAAAAATCACAGTTTAAATTATTATTACAGCCTTTTCACTTGCTTAACTGTGATATTATCTCCTTGTCTAGTTTCCCTTGAAGTTTTCTCACCTGTCTTGGTGGCACTGTATATGTTCTCTATGGGGAAGGCTGAACCTAAACCATAGAGTAACACCTTGGACAGGGCTGGAATGAGCTGAGTAGTGGTCACCAACACATTCACACAATTAGGCCTGAAAGAGGGCAAGACAGGCAAGTCAGTAAATATGACAAACAAATATATTTTGTCACAAACTGAGAAAAAATATGAAAATGTCAAATTAAACAAAGCTAGCATTTAATTCACCTCTAAGTGGTAATAAAACTATGGAAGCATAAACTGACCTTGAGTTGATGAGAGCCAGAGCTTTGAGTGCTTGAGTCAGCCACAGGTCAGTGAGGACTTCCATCTCTCTCCTTAACTGTAACCACTCTTCTCTCTTGGGGCTGCCCAGTAAACCTGACCATCAAGAAGAACAAAAGCTTGACAGATAATCTTGGAAACAAGTATTTTACTCTTCTTCATATCCAAACTGCATGTTTATGCCTAGAAAGAAAATAGGAACCTAATGAAACACATCACATCACCACACGCACCACCACACATTTCCTAAAATCCTATAATTATAAATTATAGGATTTATAATAATATAATAATATTTATAATCTTTATAATCTCTTCTGCTATTTGCACGTTCTTTACTGTAAATTCCTAAGTTAATTTGTAAATTTTGTAGTAACCTGTAAATTGTAAATATTGTAAAACTTTTTTTCTGTCATTTAATAGTCAGGCATTGTACAGCTACAAGCATTTCACCCCCATGTCATACTGTGTATGGTTGTGTGTGTGACAAATAAAATTTGAATTTGAATTTTGAATGAACTCAAATGAAAAGGTCCTACTTTATGACTTCAAATCAATCATGTTTTGAATCTTAGATGTTAGATTTAGTTCTTTAACTCTTTACCCACTGAAGCCTGACTAGGTGTAACACTTACAGTTAGTTTCTCTTTTGCCTTTAAGGGCACTGGTGAAAGTCCTACAGTTGATAAATATTTGCATTTGTGTAGAATAATCTCATCATCTAACTTCCTGTAAGTGTTAGGTGTTTAATAAGTGCACGAAAACCCCACATAAAAGAAGGAAGGAAGAATTTCTAAACTTTCACGTCACACATAGACAGCAATGTTGTATAAAATGAGACTAGAACTTACCCCCGACATTATTTTTGTATGTGTTGTAGATCTCCTTGACTCTGCGGTATCGGAAAGCTAGTTTCCTCATCCAGTCCACCCCTCCGTGGACCCCTGACCCCAGGCACAGAGATCCTGCTCCTGCTGGGCTCTGGAAGCCATCCGACCCAAAGTTATAAGTGCTGCAGAGTCACAATAAAGAAAACAGCCAGGATATAAATCATAAAGGCGTGAGCTGAATTCTTCTGAAGATCTTATTGTAATAGTTCATCATTGTTGACATTGGTACTCCAAGAATCAGTAGCTATATTCACTAATATATTTTAGGGTTGCAGGAATTTATTCAAGTAGTAGTTTACTGGAACAGTGGCGCGGCTGCCCCTCTGTTGGTCTTCCATGGTCTCTTGTGTTCTGGGGGCCTCTGGATGTCTGGAGTTTTGATCTCCTCCATACCCGCTTCACACCCTGGAGGACGGGGCTGTGGCCCCCCCACACTCCCTAGCAGATCATTACATGGAGAAACCTTTGGAATGCAAGCATGCTGATCCACACAGGTATGCACACAGGTGTACACATGGGTATTCACAGACGCGGACTAAAGCTTTCTTGGCTGCTGCCTCAAAGCACACTGTGCGCTGTCTATCTTGCGTGCTGCACAATATCGTTTATTATTTAGTAACTATTGATATCTATGACTAGCTAGTTTATTGTGATGGTGCTTTGTTTTCTCTATTATTATGTTGCTCTTTGTTGTTTGCTGTCTCCTCTGTTTGTTTTTTTTGTTTGTTTTTTTTTTTTTCTCCATACAGGTGACCCAGGAGTTGTTGTTTTTTTGTTTTTTTTCCCCCCCTTCTCACCGTCTCTTCTCCCCTTTGGTTTTCTTTCTTTCTCTCCCCCTCTTTCTCTCATTCATTCCCCCTGTCCTATTTCTTTAAAAAAAAAAAAAAAAAAAATGACAAAGGATGAACTGAAGCTCTGCCATCACGTAATGTCGCATACTGCTGTTTCTGATGTCATTTAAAAAAAAAAAAAAAAAAAAAAAAAAAAAAAAAAAAAAGAATTATAAGAATTCAACCATTGAAAAAGAAAGCATTGCTCGAGCTTTTCATCAAATGTAGGGAAATGTGCCAGTGCAAATGAAACTGTCCGGGCCAAGAAATCCTGTAAAATTGAATGAGCATTTGTCACTAAAAATATTATATACATGTAGTGTGACTAGAATAAATATAAAAACATACTCAAATGAAAAGGTCCAAGTTCAATAAAATAAATATGTCAAAAATGTACTTTAATACAGACTGGTTCGCTCAAATCATTCCTAAAAGCATCTTAAAGTGTTTCAACAAGTTTATGCAATAAAACGCCAGCACTGAGGGAGACAGAGGGAATGAAAGAGATAGTTTGATGAGAAATGAAAGCACTGGATAATCCTCTGACATATTATATGACTGTGGAAGTAGGGAAAATAAAAGACATGCACATGCTTGCATGCATGAGCACACACAGATGCACACAGCCCCCATCTCATCTTCATGCTTTTCTCTTCCTGCCCACTAAAACCCAGAGGGCAAGTCTGGTTCACAAGCCATAGCAGAACTGTCAGATTCCCAGCTAAGCTTTGAGTACAGTAACACAGCAGAAACTTTACCTCAGGTCCTGTCCATTGTCATCTGATGCCACGTCATCAATATGGACTTGGTCACATTCCTGGGAAATGAAAAGGAGAGCAGATATATGACGAGATCCTTTTCAGAGTAAAGCCATTTACAGGCAGGTCTCTGCTCTATAGAAATGATAGCACAATGGATATGAAAAAAAAAGGGTTAAAATAAAATACAAGGAAGGAGGAAATAAGGTGTCAGGAAATGGGCCAGTAAGGCGCCACGGAAAAAAAGTCGTCAACATAGTGGTGCAATTCTAGCGCAACCACATAGTGAAGTAAAGTAAATCTGCACTTTTTTTTTTTAATACACCTAACAATTTAACCACTGGTTAAAAAAAAAAAAATTC